TTATTTTACTGTTTTATTGTTTTGATCTTACCAATTAATTGCTTCGAGTTGTAATTTGTAGACAGCACAAAAGAAACAAATACTAAATGAATTAGGATTAAGAATCTTGAAATTGGAGCATCTTGTTTTGAATTTTCTATAGTGCATAACAATAATAAATTGTTTAGTAGTTTATTTACAATAATTTATCATACTTGTCTGTAATTGCTCCTCTAAGTAATTAAATTGTAGTCCAATGGAACTAGTCTCTTTGATAGGTTGCTTGAGGACCCTCTCTTGTCTTTCCTTCACTAGTTTGGCTATGTACAACTCCTTTTCTTTAAGGTCTATAAATTAATAGAATATTAATAATTATTATTGATTGATGATGATACACTAACCAGTAATGATCTGTTTCTCATTCTGTGATTGTTCCTCTACTTGTGATGTCAGTTTGGCTATGACTTTGTCTTTGTCGGAAATGAGATTTTGATTGTCGTCTAAACAATAAACATATTCTCTCATCTAATACATGCTGTGTGTATAGTTAACTAACCAATAATGATCTGTTTCTCCTTGAGGTATTGTTCCTCCTTCTCCTCCAATTGTTTGGCAACTTTGAGTTTAAGTTCTTCATAGTCTTCTACATTAATAGAATAATGTCTCATCTAATACTATGTACTGATGATACACTAACCAGTAATAATCTGTTTCTTCTCTTCATTATCAGCAACTTTAGCTTTAAGCTTGTCAAAATCTTTTAATATCGATAAAAATAAAAAGATAGAAAATAAAATGATACATGTTGCTTAATTGAAAAAATTTGCACTGCATGTACAGTAGCCCATTAATACATGTACTATGATTATTGCTAATCCATATTTGGTAAGCAGAACTCACTCTACATGAATCTCATTATTTCTAATGCAAGGACAATTTGACCTATATTGAGTACAGGATACTATTTCCATACTCAACATTGTCTAATCCACTAGTATCATAATGTAAACAATGTACACATAAACAACAGTACAACACAATAGTACCTAATTCAACAGTTGATTTATCCTTTTCTGCATGCTCAAGGAGAAAAGCATCAACTAGTTGCTGAGTAAGTGTTGCCTTTTCTTGATAGAACTCTCTCTCTCTTTCTTGTAGGTGCCCTCTGAGTAATTGAACCTCTTTGCTTAATCCTAAATTCTCCCAATCGCTCAGTATCCTTCTTCTTAGTTGATCTTGATACTGGTACAGAGGTATTACACTAGTAGACCAATCATTATCACTAGTATATCCTATACAGTAACAAAATAGTGGAGAGTAAGAAATACACAAATTAATTACAGTTGGTTACTATGGTAATCTTCTTATTGATGGATTCATGTTTAATCATTGTATGTGTGACCTCTGTCAGTTTACACAGTTAACCACATGAACATATTATTGTATATAAATACACTGATAATAATATTTCATTCACTCTAGCTCCTATTAATATCAGTGTTTCTGTATCTGCAGTTATTATATTTCACTATTGTACATAGCAGGAATGAATTGGTAATAATTAGTATCATAGGTATACGTCAAATGCTCTCAATAAATATTCATCATAAGAATTACTTACTTTATTGTAATATTATCATTACTAATTATCATTACATATTCAATACACATTGTATCTACTACTGTCTACATGTACTTACTGAGTTCAATAACTGCTGTATCACTTAATGTTGTGTAATTGCCTCTTTCTAGCTCCTCCAAATTCAATTATCCAGTTAGTAGTTGGGGTCACACTCCACACTGAGAGAGAATGCCAGTGTCTGTTAGTGACATTGTCTGGTAGATTAGTCTATAAAATTAAAATGATAATAATTAATTTGTGTATGACATATTAATTAATTTGATATCTGGTTAATAAACACAATAACTAACTCACAGTTTTATAGTCTGCACAGTGTGTTTTATGTAACACAAAGATCACATAATAATACACAATATATTAATAGACAAATATACACAACTGAGTGTGTTATTATATCATGTGAGTCCTCAATTAAAAACTTACTAAGTGTCTGCATGTACACACATACACATACACATACTAATGACACACTAACACACATACATGTACATCTATACATGCATAGACATATAAAGGTACATGTAAAGCATGCATAATTGCTCACACACATACACACACATGTACATGTTACATGTACACATGATGTACGTGTTAGTACACACATACACACATTAAAACATATGCACACATACACACAAATACATGTATGTACATACACAATGTACACAATGTATATAAAATATAATTTATTTTAATTCCAGCATTGACACTCTATCAATTGTGAATCCATCTTTACACGCACACAGAGACAGACACATGTATATTCACACATATTTAGGTAAAGAAACAAACACAAAACACAAAAAGACACAAACACACATTCACACTAAAAACAGACACACACACACATACTGAATACCAGCATTATTCATCAGTAGTTTTCACTGAGTATCATAATATGTACATGTACATTACAAACCTCATGAGTTACAAATTTAGTTAATCACTTTATGTTTTATTATCAAGCATCATAATACAATACTTACCAGTTCTTTCCATTTTCTTTTGTTAATGTCCAGTAACCATACATCATGGGCAGGTGATCCACCCACCACTAGTAAGTGTGGTCCTGAACTAGTGGTAATCAGTACACTGGAATGACCCCGTCTTCCTTTAGGCCATTGTACTGATCCTCCAGGATTAGGTACTTCTAATATATCCTGAGAGAATAATAAAATGAATGAATTAATGTATCATTAACTCACCACTGATGTCTTAGTGAAACTTATCATATACAGTTGATTACTCCATCCATTATCAGTAATGCCTCCGAACATTACCGAAGTGTTATTAGTAACTGGTGTTAGAGTGAAGTGACTAATAGGAGGTGGTCTGTCTCCAGTAACAACAGGAGATATCCATTGATCTAATAATAATGTACAAACATTCATGTACACTTACTTACCACATACACACACATACATTATACACATTCATCATACATATTAGAGATGTACCGATATGGGTTTTAGCCGATATTCCAATATGCCGATATTAACATAGCCAATACTGACCGATACCGATACCGATCCGATATTATCCTTGCTAACTTTTAGGCACAGATTCATGCATGTAAAATGTGATTTATACACTTCCCAATTTAGCATCTTGACTAATTTATAACTAGTCGCAATTATAGAATTATTTTGACATTTATTGTATCACATAATTGTAAGCTTATAAGATTGATTAACCCTTTATTCTCATGCATATGGCCATGTGTTGCTATATCTGCAAGATGCATGCTAAGAAACCGATAACCAATACTATAAAAAGTAGGCCGATATGCCGATATCCAGTATGTGGATCCGATTATCGGGACATCTCTAATACATATGTATGTGTATATGTGTGTACATTATTATGTGTAGGATAAATCCCTGTCTGGAGGTGGTTATGGGTACATAACTCCCGCGAGATAAGTGGTCGAGGGTGTAGCCCGAGACCACTTATCTCGAGCAGGGGCGTATCTGAGGGGGGGCCTACAGGGGCCTGGGCCCCCCCATCAATTGTTGTAGATAATAATATTCATTGTTTGTTTTATTACTTACCACCTAGTAATAAAAATTAACCACTTTGTAATCATGTACAATACATTGCACAGCAGCAAATGTACAAGAAAGAAGTAGACAGAAGCAAAACACTCATTTTATATTAATCATTGTTGAAAATGTAAGATTTTGATGCTTTTAAAATACGCAAAATGCTACTTTAGTGCACCATACGAATGCTAAAAAGGGGTGTGGCCAAATTTTCGGCGCACTTCGCGTGCCATTTATTACTAGGCCCCCTCATCATTTCCTTCCCAGCTACACCCCTGATCTCGAGGGAGTAGTTATGTACCCATAACCATTTCCAGACAGGGATGTATCTGACTTATGCCATGGTAAAGTATTGCAGTATTGTTCTTATGTAAACTGTGAAACCCTACTCTCTTCATTGCAGTATTGTTCTTATGTAAACTGTCAAATTCCACACTGCCTGCAGGGTGGTTATGGGCATATAACTCCCGCTAAACATCAAAGGTTTCCATGGTAGCCACCAAGGGCGTAGCTAGCATAAGGCTAGGGTAGGCTATAGCCTACCCTGAAGTTCAGAAGTCAGAATTGAAGTTTAGTAGTTTACCTATATTGAGTTTCTGCCTTAGTCACTTATGATCAAAGATTATAGAAGTTTAGGGTAGCTGTCTCAACTGGCAGTTACTCACTCAGTCACTTTTGACACAGGCAAACAGAGACAGGAGAAAGAAAAGAAAAACAGCCATTTTAGCACAATTATTATAATTTATTAAGGTGGAGTCTTTACATAATTAACTTAATTAATTAGCTAGCTTAATAAAATTATAAAAAGTTAACTTTAAGTGAAGCCATCACAATGTCAGCTGCAAAGAAACAAAAGCTTTGTAATTTTTTATGCAAAATTTAGTTGAGTATATTAGTAGTCAACCCCAGCCATATAGACTATTTGTACTGAAGATGAGCATGAGGAGATCGAAGATGATGATCTTGTGAATGATGATTTTACCTTGAGTCTTGCCTGAGTCCTCATCTGAGTCTGAGTGTGAAGCAGTTGCGAAATTAGAGTAAATGAAACTCCATATTGCGAGAACACGCCCATTTCACGGCCGTAAAAGTGGGCGTGGCCAAATCGGCGGCGCGCTTCGCACGCCCTTTTCTACTCGTAGCCTACCCCTTCCTTTTTTTCTCCCTACGCCCTTGGTAGCCACCCACACACCATGGTATAATTATACATACACATCATGCATAGACACACATCACTATCACATGATACACACACACACACACACACACACACCATATATTTAATACACAGACCGGGATTGGAAACAGATCACGTGAGCGCATTACAAATAACTGCCCATCCTTGTTGTTAATAACTAGCAGCTGCTGCTAACATTTCAATGGCGAGAAAGTTTGAACCTGCGCAAAATTTTGTGGGACTAATGCTCCAAGTGTAGGGGGTTAGGCAGTTCACTGATCATTTAAAAGCAACCAGAACAAGTAGCTGCAGTGGAATTAATAGACTATTTTTGGTTGATTAAATTTATTCTACTGAAAAGAGCAATAAAACCGGAAAATGTAAAATCGAGGTGTTGTACTTTATGGGACTCGTTCTTTTGATCTCATCATCGGACCTATTGTTTGATACTTGCATATGATGAAGAAATTCTTCCACTAGTGGAATAGCATAGTTTAATGATTCTAGTTGTTTATAATCATGCTAAAATTAATTAAAGGTAAATGTCACGAGATACACAACATGCAAGCTCTTTCCATTTACTATTCCATGATTTAAGTAATTTTTGTAGATGCAGAAGGTAGAGAGAGGTCATCATTAACTTCCACAAGCAGTTCAGCTTCTTCCTTGTTTTATGAGATGCAAGAGAGGCTGGAGAACACTGCACAAGAGAAAAAGTTCACCGATGGCCATTTTATTCATTAATAACTATTAATAAACTGTAATAATAACCATAGCAACGACAACATGGATCATGCATGGAATAAAATTAAATAGGGGAAGTTTCCAATCCCGGTCTGTGTATTAAATCTATGCACACACACACAGATACACTCATGTATGGATACACACACCATCACACACACCACACCTGTACACATGAAGGAGAGGTCCAGGGGGTCTCCTTATTTCAAGATTACTAATCTATTCTGGTACATGTCAGTTATGATTGTTAATGAATAATTATACAAAACTCATGGAACATTGTATGTGGGTAATTTGTGACTCATGTGATACAGAACTTTATTAAAAATGATAATAAATAACATGAACCTACACACACACACACACACACACACTCTTGTCACATTAGATGTGTATAGATACATGTACATATACAAACATCACACACACATAGATACAACATATAACATGCACATTATAGATACACGTCATACATTCATAAATTCTCACATACATTATATGCACTATCATACACAGACACATCATAATGTTTGTATTAGTACACACACACACGTCACATATAGACACACGTCACCATCACACACAAACACATGACACACAGAGACACACTAACAAACACACTTAATTATTAAAAATTTGTTTTATGTACATTAATATAAATTATTCAGTTTGAAATACTCATCAATTATTGTGTATCAATGATGAGAATTACTGACCTGATGAAATCCTGTAATAATGTATCTCATTACATCTACCATCAGCTGAATACTGAGCATCAGGTTGCTTTGGAGGATTGATAGAAGATGATCCCAGTCCTCCAATAATTACCAGATAGTCTTCACCGTCAAAATGAGCTGATATCATTCCACAGCGGGCCTTCATCATTGGACTATGATCAGAACTAGAAGGAGAGAGTTCCCTCCACTTGAATGAATCCACATTGAAGGAATGCACACTATTGCGATAGACACCACCTCTATCACCACCAAAAAAATAGATGTTGTTTCCAATAGCAGCAGAAGAACATCCACTGGCACGTAGTGGAGGGTTGCCATTTGTTGGTCTACCCTCCCATGAACCAGTTGGTAAGTGATACAGGTCCATTGATGATGTCATTGATTTATCAAGATCACTATTATTTACGCCAGACAGGTACCCACCCCACATATATAGGTAGTCTCCTACCTTTACTGTGGAGTGACTACTTCTTTTCACTGGTTGATAGTCTATAGAGAACAAGAGGTACCAGTAACAGAGTAACAGTAATATAGTGATGAGTTAGAATAAGGACAGGATACAGAGGAGTAAAGTAAGTGAGAGAGTAAGAGAGACAAAGAATGAATGAAAGAGATGCCAAGAGAAGAGCTCACTTTTAGATGCCATTCTTGCAAAATACCAGCCCCACCCAAATATGCAACATAAGACCACACCCATTTCTCCAAAATTCATAAAATGAGTTCCAGTCGTGGTGCCAGTAGAAAATCATCTGCTGGTTCTACCAAATCCCAACTTCTTCAATTCTCCTAGTCAAAGTGATGGGGTAGGTAAGGAGGGGACTGTACCAGAATCCTTTTTGAAACAAGCTCATAAAACTGGTTCACTGAATCTGTCAAACAGGTAGGAGGCTGTGTGAGACTTGTGACAGGTTTTTTTAATTCACTAAAAATGTCCTAAATAATTTTTTATTTTCATTTTTATGATGCATTAATGTACATGTGAATGTATTATGAAAGTTAGTGGGTGAAAGTCTATAATTTATTGTCAGCGCTTGAGGTGAGAATGAATTATTAATATCATTATAATACATGTTTACTGTACATGTATGTATCAATTAAATTGTAATAGCATGGTATACTGCATGCTTTGAGACAACTCCCTTGAATGTTGTAGATTTGTTTATAGTTTAGTTTGTTGTTTATTTTTGAATAAAGACTCATAATTGTGTTTACATGTTGTGTGTTATTGTTATTATAGGTCCAGTACAATGAGTTAACATGTCTACCTAATAATGTGATCAAACTGGATAAACTATTTATAAAATATTTGTAAAGTAAATATTGTATCCACTCTCTACCATATGTACATGTATATCTCTCTCCATGCATACATGTACTTATCTATCGAGTATTAAATTTTATAAATTGACAAAAATTGTTTTAGTATTGCTTTTTGGCTCATAAGGATTTCCTTCTCCCTCTCTCTCTCCAGTTATAAAATGATGTGTTCTTGATGATGATTGTAATACTATCATGTCCGTCTCATGGTCTGTGAAAAGGATACATGTACATATAAGTCCTAATATGGAATTGAAACAGATTCATACACTAACAGAAATGGATGCATGTACATGTACTGTACCATTATACATGTATGTACATGTACATGTGTATCAGAATAATGTTGATGAGAGAATAGATTGAATGAGTAAACTTGAAATAATGAGGAGTAAGAGAGAGAGGGAGGGATCTTAGCTTTTATTTCATGTGCTCCTATTAGCTATACTGCATGGACAGTATTACCTCAATTTGTCTTCATAACATTGTGCATTAATTGATACATGTACATGTGTATTTATAGTCATTTTCAGTTAATGATACATGTACATGTACTGCATGTTTTTTGTTTTTCTTGCTTTTAGCTGCTTCATTGTAGTTAACTTATTAATTTGCTAACTTGATTCGTACACTTTACTAATCCATGAAAACTGTACCTAAGCAGTGGCACACACAATTATAAGGAAAAGTGATAGTAAAACAGGAAACATTTCCTGTATTTTAGAATGTACATATAAACTTTTTACTGATGCATATTATACGTTCTTATATTGTCTGAAAAATTTGAGTCAAAATTTATTTTTTATGAATTTTTAATGTTGCTTCAAATGCCCTGGATATTGTTTGTGCTTAAAATGTGCCTCACTTAGCACACTTTGTG